TAAACATCAAGGCAGATTAAGTGTAATCGTCAGCTGTCAGCTCCCACCTGACATGCTTTACAATGAGTTGTTTTCATTTATAATATCAGTCCAATGAATGGAATTACTAACCATGACATCAGAAAGCCTTCATTTTTCAATTTGTTGGAGTTCATGGGGAGAATTCTCTTCAAGAAAATCTCTCCAGAAAATGACTCAAGGGGCAGGAGAACGGCTCGATGGTTGCCAAAAACCTCTTTTACCGATTATTGTCCCAATATTGGCAAAAATATGACACTGGGGCAATTCGTTTGAACAACCAAGGCAAGCATTTCAACCGTTTCCAAAATAAAAGGGTCCAAGCATAACCTGGATTTCGAGCGGCTGCACTGAGTTTAGGAGAGCAAACTCTGTGAATGAAGAAATGAGCTGGCGGACTTCTTGTCCCATAACTTGAGAAACATGTTTTTTTCATGATTCAAGGTTCATATATAAAAGGAACCTGTTTCTCTGATATTGTTCAAGGTTTTTTTTTTGTGACGGGAAAAAATTTGGCATTTCATCTCAGTTAGCAGGTTATGAAATGTCACTTTTCATAAACCACTTCATTACCATGGGAAAAAAGTGAGTGTTTTTCTCCCTGATATATATCACATATATATACACTGTTAATGGCTTTTGTTGTGCTAAAGTTCCGAAAAATGAGTCAATACCGTCTCCGAGAAAGAACTGCAAGTCCTTTCATCTTCCATTCGATTTAGCGGTTACGTATATTACTGAACAACAACTCAATTCGCAATTCTCTGAAATCAAATCACAAAATTAAACTGACAGAAGTGACATCAGATATCTTATCACTTCAAAAGAATGATGAAGAAGCCTTCAACGCAGGTGTCTGTTGAAAACATTAAATATCACGTCGATAATTTTCAGATTTCGAAATAATGTTGAATATTCTCAGTATAGATTCGTCCTTTCTCCTGTCACAAAAAGAAAGATAGTGTATTATACACTAGAAAAACACAACCTGAAGCTAGAATCTACTTCTTTTTCACCTTGTATAATAAAATTACTATTTTTGCCTCTCCTTCTCCTGGAGTATTGAAATATCTGTTATTCGGAAAAATCAATCGATAATTTCTTTGTTATTCTATGAACAACGTGATTTTCTTGGGATTTGTTCATTTCCATGAATCACATAGAATACATGAGTATTGATGCTCTTTCGTGAGCTGATCAATCAGTTAGCACAATCCTGACCCCACCGTTTGATTCTTCATATATGTTTCTATCTTACCTCATGAATTGTGTGTACTTCTACTACACTGCACAATGAGCTACGATCAAGACATTTCAGGTGAACCATATGAAGGATCACCCAAAAAATCTTATGGACAGCATACTCAGACATTCCCAACGCGAATGAGATATTCTTGAGAATGCTTTCTTGCCATTTCGATTAGAAAATAGTGGAAATTTGGAGTTTTCGAATTGGACACATATAAATTCATTATGAGAATCCTCCATAATCTGCGAACAACCCTTCTAGATATTACTCTATATTCCAATTTCTTTCTGCGAAAATCATGACAATTAATCACAAAGTACTGTAGTATTGAGGTTTTGAGATTAGGTTATACTTGGAAGTTACTCGAATCCCCGTTACTTCAATATAATTTGGTAAAATTGTACATTTCCAACTATGGAATATTTTGTATATTATCAAACTTTCTCAGAGCTGCTGGAATTGTTTCTTTCATGTATATACATACCTACCTTCATCTTGCTTGTCAAGTTCATTTATTCATTAATTCATTTATTCATTTCAATAAGGTCCAAATGAAGGACATGTGGATAAGTCAAAAAAACAACTGAACTAGACATAACTAGGAGCAATCACAATTACAATTTGCACACTCAATATTCACATAATTTGAACAGCATAACACATACTTGGTATATACATAACAGTAATTCTCACATGTACTCATTATTTTGTAAATTGGTATCGAAAGATTCAACCAATGAGTATAACGAGTGCTGATGTAGTAATCTTTCTGTTTCAATTTTGAATGCTTCAACGTCAGGTACATCTTTCAAAACCTCAGGTAAGTGATTATATAGTTTCAAGGGCATTACAACACAACTTTCTGCCGTTGAGGTGAGTCTATGATGGGGTAGTCTAATCAGCGACTTGTCTCTTATACTGTAACTGACAATATCACCAGATGCATTGAAGTCAGAAATATTCTTTTTGACAAAAGTGAGAAAATGTAAAGTGGAAAGACCGTTAGAATGCCAAGATCCTTAAATAAGTTTTTGCAAGAGTACCTCCGTTCTTTGAACGTCATTGTTCCCAATATTTTCTTCTGTAAAATTAAGAGTAAGTTTATAGCTTAGGAGCATTCATTTCCTCAGATGTCCATTCAAAATTGTATAGTCATTCGGAATTTGTTGATAATGCCATGATCACTATGTGACAGTGACATTGTGACATTCTTCCTATGATATCGAAGTTTGTGTCAGAAGTTGTTAATACCCTCAGGAATGATGGAAAAGAAGTATTCAACCCCAGTTCTGATGAACTCGTTTATCATTCTTGGCACGGTGATGAAATTTTCAGCAGGACTTGTATAGAAAGTTAAATGAATCTTCGAACTGATCCATGTAGCATTCATTACTTCCGTTTACTCTTTCCAAGATATGATATGGAAATGTGTCTACAACACACCTTGCGTTAATTTCAAATTTTTGACTGATAACCTATCGATAATATGAATATGGAAAAGGAATATGAAGGAAACATTCAATGTGAATAGTTGAAGATGCAACTAATTGTTTCGAAATGTTCCTCATCGTTTTGAATGCATTTCATGACTCGCTTCTATTTGAATTCCAAATACATCAATATTATCAACATTCGCTCACCTTTCCCAAGACGAGACCAAGAAGGCAAATAATTGTGAAGATGCACAATGATATCGAACTCATTCTTCTGATTCAATTGATGATAAGAAGTACAATAATTTCTCAAATATCTCAACAAAACTATGAGGCGACTAACAATAAATCGCAATGACTGTTATTGTATCGAAATAGAATTTATATATCAGATAAGCGATCAGGATATTTATCTACTCTTCATGTTTCATTGATAATTTCTTTTTTCTGATGAGAAGGAATGTCAACTCAAAGCCTAGCATGTAAACTTTGATATTGCGGCATACATGAATTAAAAACACTTGAAAGAATGATTATTTATTAGCTATTGAATGAAAACTTGCTGTTTCGTTAATGTTGTTGTTGTCTATTGAGATTTATTGTGTGATATATTCAATTCAATGATCATTCATTCATACATATTACCGTAGCGCTGTGTGCTGACGTTATGGTGTGTTGTGCTTCTTCGTAATCGCCTGATTTGAATGATTATACCTTGATTGAATAGACGAATTTGAGACCAGGAAGCAGAATTAAAAAAAAAAAGTATTTCTCTGAAACGAAATCGAAGTGTTACGAGAGAAATTGTTTTTCCAATATCACCAACTCTATCAATGCTATCCTTTTTTTGTACCCATTGAAAAAAAGCATCTGATTATAGATGTGTGTACAGCTCTGTTTATGTTCGGTGGTACAGCATACCGCATGACTGTAGTGACTACTATCCCTTCAGCACGGTCAGCAGTGCTGCGATAAAATATAATGTAATACTTGCCAAGATCACAAAGAAATTCATAAATGTGATAAATGTGGAAGAGGTCTACGCAAAAAATGCGGCGATCTCATCGCATCCGAAGTTGAAGTTTTGCAATTGAAAAATGGAATTGTACTGTGTGAAATTTTTGAGAAATGAGACTCTGGATCTTTCACACACTGTGATTCACAACCAAAAATAACTAGTGAATAGCAAAGAAGAGATCATACAATTGCTCAAATCAGAAATTGAAACTTTACAGGACAAGCTAACAAGAAAAATACTACCTGCGCATCAATCGTGAGGAAAACAATTATCACTGGAATCAAAACAAATGTTCCAGACCTTGTCATAAGACCATTGAATGGTCAAGAATAGATGTGGATACAGTAAAGAGAAACATACAGGAGGAAATCGATTCAGCAGATTTCAATATCGGAGTAACTAACTTAGGAACAATCAAAAATGGAAGTGTTATCATTAAAATAAATGTCCTTCAAAACAAGATGTCAACGATATAAAAAAGGCTACTGGATCAATATTCAAGAATGAATGCCAAATAGAAACAACACAGCTGAAAAAACCAATAAGAAGAATTGTGGGCTATGAAGGAAATAAAGAGGCAACAGAAGTTTAGACTTTCATCAGGAAACAAAATGAATAGATGAAGAAACAAGACGAAATAGAAGTTACTCTCATCAAGAAGAAAATCAATAGAACATCTACCATATTTGCAGAATGTTCAGCAGAATTACATCACAAAATGATGAACCACAAGAAGGAATATATAGACTGGCAAAGATGTGGTTCATGAAGACCAAAGTGTTTCCTGATGCTCCAAATGTCAAGGTTCATATCACAAAACTGATTAGTGCAATAAAAAGGTCATTGTTTGTGAATGTTGCACAGAAAATCATGCCACCTCAGCTTGTACAAAAGTAAGCAACTTCAAATTTATCAACTGTATACAGTGTGTCCATTTAGTGCGGAATTATTCGATATCTGATCATCAACACTATTAACCGAATTTACAGTGTTTCGAGTGCTATTTTAATAAATCAACAAGAAACAACGTGTGAAGCAAGTAAGTGGGTAGTACCCCAACTAGTCGATCGTTTGATTACACATCGCATTTGGTGATAGTTGCATTCAAAACAACTGCATTTTTGTGTGAGGATAGTGTGGATCTGAACCATCTTAGGCAGAAACCAATTTTCATTCCGTCAACCAACTCATCTGTCCTATATACCTATCTCATACATTAGAAGCCTGCAGATTCCTGCTCCCTACAGTCTGATATACCTCTAGTTCCAGCAACTGCTCGAAGATGGCACCATGTAAGAAATGCAGAGCACCTATATCTAATGCGGTCAAATCTAAAATACAGTGCTCCACTTGCGAAGATGCCTATCATACAAGCTGCGCTGATACGCCTACTCTTGACTTGGAGGGGCATTGGTACTGCCCAGTTTGTTGGAAGAAAACGATGGAGTATTCCCAAAGCATGTCTAGCTCGAATTCAAAGCCAGGACCGTTGAACACCCAACATTTTCAACAGATAATGGACCAACTTGCCCAGTTGAATACGCAGATATCAGTCTGCAACCAGAGCATACATAACATTAAAGAAACGTTGATGAACCACAGCCAATCAATTACGGACTGTGTAGCTGAAGTTTCTGCCCTGAAAGACAAAACAACCAACCTTGAGACGCAGCTAGTTGAACTTCAATCAGCTAGTTCCAGAATGGTGTCTCCCAAAGAAGTAGATCTGAACCTATTTTGTGCAGAATCTAGAGACCGCATGGAGCGGGAGAAAAACATAATGATCACTGGTATCCCTGAGACCAACTGCATTATCACTGATGAAAATCATGTAGAGTCCATCGTAACTATAATTAGGAATGGGTACCAGTCCCTTATCACATCAATTACCCGCATCGGAAAGCCCACCAATGGAAAAACCAGACCCATCAAAGTGAGTTTTACGGAGAGCAAGATCGCTTTCGAGATACTTGAAAACAAAAACAAGTCAAAACCCAACTATCCACAATCCAACATAAAATCTGATCTAACCCCAACACAAATGAGAGAGTTACAAGATCTTCGTAGTGAGCTACAGAGGATAATGGATAGCGGTGAACCTAACCTAACAATTAAATATATTAAGAGAATTCCACAGATTGTCAAATCGAGCTTCGCCACCGATTCAAAAAACTCCCAGTAGTCAATTGCCCTATCCTTTACACTAACATCTGCTCAATCAACGCAAAATATAACGAACTTCTACAGATAACAACCAGAGTCAATGCGCATATCATAATTCTTACAGAAACATGCCTCAAGCCAGATATACCATCAGGTCTGGTAGACTTGCCAAATTATGTACTATATAGGCAGGATAGGGTCCACCGCAGAGGGGGTGGAGTAGCAATATATGTGAAAAACACAGTATTCTGCCCAACCAAAATCATCGATTTGGATATATCACTCCAAAATATAGAAATTTTAGGCCTGAAAATCGTATCAGAATTTTCTACAATTATCCTCATAGTCGTCTACCGTCCACCATCTTCTGCTCTGCAGGACGATATCGAATTGTTTAGTGTAATACGCCGACTGAATCAAACGTAATCCAACCTTGTCATAATGGGGGATTTCAATTTTCCTGCCATTAACTGGACCAACAATACGCTAAAAATGAGAACAGTATCAGCGGAATTATTTCTGGATACGATAATTTCGACAGGGCTAGAACAATTAGTTACTGAACCAACGCGCTTCAGAGGAGAGCAAATACCGTCTTTACTTGACTTGATCCTCACGAACGATCCAAACCTATTTTCCAATATTGAGTACTTACCTTCAATTGGAAAGTCTGATCATGGGTGCATTCTAGCAAACATCCAATTATTACTTGCAAAAATTGTCAGAAAACCTCGTAGGTGCATATGGAAAGCAAATTTCGAAAATATTCCGTCTAACCTAGCAAATATCAGCTGGCAAGAACAGCTGGCAGCATTGAACCCAGGCGAACAATGGTCATTCATAGAGGAAAATTTGAATCTACAGGTGGACTCAAACTGCCCACTTCAGCAACACCGTTCAACGCGCCTACCCTGGTAAGCCGAAACATAAATCAGGATATCCGGCGAAAAAAATCTCTGTGGCAACTTTATAAAAGACAACCAACAGATGAAAATTATCAACAGCATAGACAACACGCTAATAAAGTGACTAACAAGTTACGAGAAGCTAGACGCCAATACGAGGAGAGTCTCCTGACCAGGGGATCTAAAGCGATTCACAGCTACGTAAGGCAAAAAATGTCGGCTAAGGTTACCACGCCAATTCTGCAGAAAGACAATATCCTGATAACAAATCCCCACCAAGTTGCCAACTTATTTGCAGAAGAGTTCGTAATAAACTTCAATGACAATATAACAAACGATGTAATCCCAATCGATCAATCAACTAGAGTTGAGGAATCCCTAGACCAAGTCAACATCTCTGAAGAAATCGTTCTTTCCTATCTTTTGCAGCTGAACACTGATTCGTCACCCGGACCCGACTGTATACACCCATTATTGTTAAAAAATTGTGCACATGAGCTAGCCTTACCCCTTTCCATCATGTTCAATAATAGCCTTCAAGCCAATGAGTTACCTGAATCATGGACCTTAACCAATATAACCCCAATATTCAAAAAAGGGAACAAACTCCTTGCTGAGAATTACCGCCCAATCAATACAGCCAGCGTCCCAAGAAAAGTGTTGGAGCGTATCATAGCTAAAGAAATATTAGAATTCGCATCCAGGAACAACATTATTCCGAACAACCAACACGGATTTCTACCGCAAAGATCAGTTACCTCCAACATGCTTCTAGCCACAAACTATTGTACAAGAATTCTTGACAATGGGCTGCCCATGGATGCAGTCTATTTTGACTTTAGCAGAGCGTTCGACAAGGTACCACATGATTTGCTCATCAGGAAATTGGACCACTTTGGAATTCGAGGTAATCTACTGAGATGGATAAAGTCATTTCTGAGCAGCTCATATTTCTCGGTTAGAGTTGGTGACCAATTATCAACCAGAAACAAGGTAACCAGTGGAGTCATTCAAGGATCTGTGCTCGGTCCGACTCTGTTTCTACTCTACATCAGCGACCTCGCAAGAGAAATATCATCATTCTCACTTTTCTTCGCAGACGATCTGAAAATTTTCAACCAAGTCACCAATAACAGAACAACCATACAGGAAGATCTGGTTGCCATAAGTCGCTGGAGCTCTGTATGGAAACTACCATTGAACTCAGCGAAGTGTATGGTGCTGCATATGGGTAGCAATAATCCCAGAATTAGGTACACCCTCAGCAATTCGGATTTGCCTGTAGTGGACGAACAAATCGATCTCGGAGTGACAATCACCTGCAACATGGGTTGGTCCCAACACGTCAACAAAATAGTGAAACGAGCAAATAGTGCGTTATACCTTATCAGCAAAACTTTTCATAGTCCTTCTCCTACACTCATGTGTAATTTATACAAGACTTATGTCAGACCTCATTTGGAATTTGCTGCTCCTGTCTGGTCACCGTGGTTGATTCGCGATATCAAATTAATCGAGGGTGTCCAACGCCGTGCCACTAAAATCATCAACGGACTGAATCGTATGCCGATCGCCTGCAACATTCAAACCTGCCTACTCATTACTGGAGACGAACTCGAGGCGATCTGATCGAAATTTATAAAATCCTAACAAATCGGTACACAGTAGACTTATCTAGCATGTTCGAAGTGAATGAGAGTGAAAGGTTGCGCGGTCATCCATACAAACTGAAACGCGAAAGATTCAGAAAATGTGTACGCGAATACACACTATTCAACAGATCCTTCCAGCTCTGGAACAGTTTGCCCGCTAACGTAGTCTCAGCGCCATCCCTGAATGCTTTCAAGAATTCTTTGGACAAACATTATAATGATAACCCACACATATTTCCCCAACATTTCCTACTCATGTAAATTCTACGACAGGCTTATATAGCTGATTCAATCCTCATTAGTAATTATTTTAGAATTAAGCAATTACTTTCATGATTATGTATTCATGTATAACTTTAGTATAAAGAGTTTATAAGCTTCTAGCTTCTACTCTTGTTAGTTCATAAATAAATAAATAAATAATCTCGAAAGCCATGACCTATAGAAAAAAACTTTGAAGGGAAAACTTTTTCAGTAACTGGAGTCTTTCAAGAATATTTTCGACATTACTGGGTGTTTTATAAAAGCGGGACAACTCGAAGACCAGTTTTTTTTAATGGAACACCCAGTATTGTTTATTCGGAATTAATTCCGCTGAGGGTTACCTTCACATCGCTAAAAAAAATTGGAATTGGTTGCAGCGTTGCCAAGTTATAATTGATAAATCAATTCTGACCACTATTGAAGAGTCATGTTGAGTTGGCCATGGTATATTCATTCATTCAAATTTCGAAAATATTTTTGGTTCATGGTAGTAGCAAATTCTCACGTATACCAATCCAGTAATTCTGCAACAAATTCTTCAACAGGGTGTTCAATTTTGCATTTAGAATTTTGCAAGATTCAAATGATCCATTAGACAGCACCAAACATCGTTAAATTCTAGGAAATCGAGTGTTTTCAGTATACGGTGTACGTCAGATTATCATTGCGAACAATGGTACCCAATTTGCAGGAAAAATCTTTAAAAAGTTAACAGATACGTATGAAGTGAAAATTTGGTTTACGCCCCGCTATTCAGCGCAGTGTAACTTTGTTGAACGCAATAACAAGACAGTTGGACAAGCAATACGTAGCTATATAGTTGAACATAAGGATTGGGACGAAGAGTTATCTAAGATACAATTTGCTTTAATACTTCTGTGCATAAAGTGCATAATTATGCCCCAGCATTTTTGAATTTCGCTAGAAATATTCCTCACTCAGGTGACTATCATAGTAATATATCTGATACAGAAGGGATAGAATCAAATCCCCAAAGTAGATCTGAGTTTGTGGAAAATATTTCTAATTGAGATACAGTTTTTGAAGAAATAAAGAATGAATTGCATCAGGCTTACCAACGAAATTCACGAGCATATAATTTGAGAAAAAAATATTATTCTTTCAATATTGGAGATAGAGTTTGGCGTCGAAACAAGGTACTGTCAGAAGCTGCAGTGAAATTCAGTTTAGAACTAGCACCCAAATATGTTATGTGTGTAGTTAAAAGAAAGGTTCCACGTTTAGTTTATTCTCTGGAATATAAGAATGGTAGTCCAGCATTAGACTGGCATATTAAGAATGCGAAACTTCATTGTGGTTCTAACTCGGACATTTCTGTCGGTAAGTTTTATGAGATATTTTGAGATATATTTTCGATTTTTTTTTTAAATTTTTAAACTCTCTTGGAATTTTCTGCAAGTTTTTAGGAACTTCTTGGTAGCTACCGTGAATGTGAAGATTCACGAAACACTCTTGGAATGTTCTACATTGTGACATTCAATATTTTGTATTTAGCATTTCGAATTTTTTGAAATTCGAAAATTTTGCCCCTGAATTGAAACTGTTAGATTGCAACAGTTTTCAATTTTTCTCATTGCTGACGAGTAATAAGATTCTCACTTTTGTACAGTATCAAGAGTTAGGTTCAAGTTATGTAAATATTATGTAGATATCTTCCGATTCTGGAAATTTACTCGATTATGAATTCTACCGACTTAGACTTTCCGATCGTGACCTCCCTTGAGATGTTTAGTACGCATAGCTACTACCCAAAGCAAATCACTAAATAGAGGTACCTATGCATTTGATCTTTATTGTCATATTTTTTGGGGTAAAAGTTGGTTATCCCTGGATTATTCTTGAGGCTACCTGAAATTGGACATGTTCCCAACTAGTGTTATCACGGCAGTGACACAGCTGTTTTTTATTTTTGCCACAGGTTATGTGGA